TGACCAGCCACCTAGTCGTATTCGATCCCAGGCATACTTGGTAACAGCGCCACTGCACCGCAGAATGCATTCCTCCGCATCTCGTTCACTCCTACGACTGATACTAAAAGGGTCTGCGAAGCTGAAATCAGTGGCCTGTATGTCTATACATTGAGCTTCAACGTTATACACTACACCGAAACCTGTGTGGAGCCGAACATCATCAAAGCAAATATCCGAACATCAGTGGAGCATAAATGGCTACTATGTTAGGATTTCGCAGAGCAGCTACTCCGTCATTGTTTCTCCTCTATTGATGCTTTTGTCGTGGGAGACAAGGCGAGATCTCCGAATCAAATTGGAAAAGTCCCGTTATCGATTCTTCCGATGAACGCGTCGAAGACACACGGGACAGCGTTTGACTGCTCATTGGTTCCGGTCCTGGCGATGATCCCGAGTTGTCTTGAAAGCGAACGACGTCCGCAAATGATATTCGGTTCTACAGAGGTTTCGGTGTAGGAGGTCGTATTGGCCCGGCGTTCACGTTTCTAGTCGGTGCCATCTTTCGAGATAGACAGCGTCTCAACGAGGACTTCTCGGTCGTGCCAGAGGAGGCGGTCATCAGCCGTAAAAGGCAGCAACTTTTTCGTCTTTCGGTGCATCTGACGCGGCACAGCTACGCTTCACCAAATCGGCTATGTTAGGGCAGAGCGACACAGTCAGTACCTAGTGGGCAATTTTCTTCGGCATGGCGTCCATGGACAGGTTCCTGTGTGTTTGGCTGCGGATGTGGATTCATCGAATACGACCAGGTGGCTGGCCAGGTCTGGCTCATTGCTTCGGTCATGGTGCAATATGGAGCCGATATGGAGGTGGCAACATAAAATGCAAAAACGGCTCGGTCACGGGGATCCAAACCATCAACCCAGCCTAGCCGTCCCAATTCGAAGTCCACATCGCTATCCACCACACCATCCATCGCTGCCATCAGCTCAACCATGGAGAGCATATCTGGAACTTCCCCGCACTTTTCAACATGTGGCTCCCTTTTTTGACTACTGTTCACGTTATTTTCAATGCGCAGTTCACTGGCGCCTTCTACTGAGCTGACAGTCGGCGCCATGATTGAAACAAGCGACGCTCATCTTGTTAAAACGGCAATTTCTGGCAAAATCATTTTCACCCTTTTTTTGGCAGTGCAGGCAATACCATTGCAGGCTCGGCTAATCTTCCTTCTCTGTGCTCTAGCCGTCAGTGATTCAAATAGGCGCAGCCTCTCAGAAAACGCGGAAATCGGCGTATTCAGGAAAATATAAGGCATCAGAAAAAAAATAAATTCAGAGGTTGGACGAGATTGTGATTACGAAACTTGCATGGTAGGGCTATTTGGACGAGCCCTTCGAATTCGCGGGTCACTGCAGAAAGATGGCTACAGCAAGCTGTCTGCGTACAACGCCTTCGATGTGTAAGTCGGCTGAGCCGATTTCTGAACCTCACTGCTTTTCCAGGTCGTTTCTCGATTAATGTTCATTCAAGAGAGAAACTCGGAAGCCATCTTTAGCCTGAATTGTGCCTCAACTGGATCCGCATGATGGTCGCAGTAGCCAGCCTGGGAAATGAAAAGATCTCAAGTAGAGATCTTAAAGGATATTACTAGGTAACAGAATGTTGTATATTGCTCTGATGTCGGAGTAACTTGCTGCTTTTATTTTAACAGTTCTTCTCCAACCTCCCAATAAACTTGTTTGCCTGTCGTATTCTAAAACAAGTAATAGGAAGAAATGAACTTACAAGGACGTGAGATTCGGCTGCTTTGAGCACTATAAACCCAAAATTTGATTCATGTCCTGCACAACGTGGGGATAGCTGCGTTAGAGCCCAACTCAGTTACGTGGCACTTTACCAACTCCAGAGTGCTCGTTCGCTTATCTAGAATGATTACAGAAAATAACTGCAAAAATCTAATCGTTCAGTCATCGAGTGATTCTATAATAGAGGCTGCTGGGAGATTGTGTTGCACTGCATTTTCATCTTTTACTTTATCTTCATTGAATGTTTTTTTCCATTCACAATAACAATTTACTGATGAATTGTATGAGAAACATGATCATGTGGGTTATTTCTTGTCCCTAGCGTCAATCTCATGCCGATCCACTGAAGTGACAGCGGAACTTCAAACACTGTTGTTTGAAATGCACGGTTCACAGTTATGTTGAGGTGCTCCTTTTTATTCGAAAATCGGAATTATGGTTTGGGAATAGTTCATTGGTAGTGAAGGAAGCCAGAGAATTCGTCCATCTCGAGAGAACAATAACACTNTAAAAGTAGGGAGAATAGAGGTTGGACGAGATTACCATGACGGAAATAAATGGAAGGGGTATTCGGACGAGATTTCAGTTACTGCAATTGCGCAAAGAGCTGACTTCATCAAGCCAGAACTGTACAGAACTGCCTTTCACTATCGCTATGGGTCATGACAAGTTGTTTGAGCCTCCTATATGGGTTTCCTTGTGATCGATGCAGCATCTAAAATGCCGGTGAAACTCGAATTCATCCTATGGGGAGATCTCAGCAACCATTTTCATCGTGGTCCGTGCCCTTAAATAGGACTCCCCATCTGCAGTGCCTGACTTTTTCATAGACAACATATGTGCAGCTTGCGGAAAAGATCGAATTCATAGCCCTTGACTATTTTCAAAAAAATCCAGTAATCGAAGGTACATGTATGATCGCATTGATGGTAGTGATGACAAACTCGCGCATACTATTGCGCTACATACATCGACACCAACATGGAGAACGTCCGTAGCGCGCGTGCGTCGAAAGTATGTCACCCCGCCCACTTCGCGCGCGGCGCACCCCACTGGCTGCATTCATAGTCCGCCGGCCGGCTCGCCGGCTGACGTAAAGCTAATTAGTTCGTGTGTAGGAAATCTACGTCTTTTGCATTTCATTTTAGGTCAGATTTTTACAGTCGGGTTCTGACCGGCGGACGATGAAAGCAGCCACTGAGGTCTCAAGATGACATTACATACCACCAAGTGTCAGTGGAGCAAACGACTTGCATTTGTCCGTGTTATCTTCTCTTTGGCTGACTGCCGTGGACCATGCGCAAATAGTATGCCCCACTGGTAACTGCGACGTCTGCCAAGTATCATCGGCTGATCCGCCGGATGCGACGGCTGCGGCGTGACCTAGTTTCAACGTACGCATGCAATGAAGCGCATCCCACAGACATAGGTACCATAGTGATAGCTAGTAGTCCCAGAGGTTGGCGTCAATTGTATTTGCCAATTGTCTCGTGGAGTCAACTGGAAAATTCCATCCCGGCTTGCGATGTTCTCAAACAACCCTGAAGACAACAAGAAGCGTAAAGTCGTCGGCAATCATTTCCTTCGCTGTAGCATTTAGCATTAGAGAAAGGGAACATCGGGAAATAGTTCCTAATTCCCGGTCCCCTCTAACTATCTGATTGCCTAGAAGCTTAGATCGCAGAGAAATGTTCAAAATGAACAAAACTAACCAAATGTAGATGGGCGTGGTCATATTGATCATGAATACTACCTCGGCGAAGGAACGTATATGAGCAAAAAATCAACTTCCTCAACAGACGTATGCGTAAAAAATCACACATCTGCGTCAGAACCGTTCGCAAGAAATCGTTACAGGACCGCTGCTCCCCGTAAAAACTCGCGACAAGTACATTGAGAAAGAGGTCCTGCAACGATTCTCTGCAAACGGTCCTGACGATTTCTGCGATTTTACGCACATATCTGCCTAAAACTCACCTACTATGAATGCACCCATCTCTCCCCAGGACCACAACGATTCTGTTGTATTTCAGATTGTCACCTCGACTGTTATACATTTGTTTACGGATTTTATAGAAGAGTAGGGTATCATTGTGCATCTAGCTTTATAGAATTACTTAGTAAAAAGTCCGATTGCGATTGGATAAGGACGAATGGAGGCGAGACGCTTGGCTGCTCCAAGAGCACCTCGTATGGCTCCACTACTTCATTAGGAGTTATGACTCTGTAATTTCTTTATGAATATCGGGCCAACCGCGACGTTATCCGCCTAGGCCAACCAAGCCCTCCTTCCTTCCAAGGTCGGTTAGTTGGTACCGGACTCGTCTGCGCATTCAGTACACCACAACGATTCTGGATGGAAGTCGAATGCGTGGGTGCATCCCTCAGGCGAGACAGACGAGATTACCCCCCTCCCCCCTCCTCCCGAGACTTCATCCTTTCATCCTTTATTCGACCGACATACTCTTTTCCTGAGACTTGTTATGTGCATTAGTGGAAGCGCTGAATTTAGCTTCAATTCGCTCAACGATCAGAAATGCTAATTCACTTATTGCTAATTTTCTCATTTAACCATCTGCCTCCGTAACCTTATACATTCTCATGGTCGCGTATTCTTAATTTTCAGGAGCAAGGTCTTCCGGATGCACCGAGCGTTACTTCTCTGGGTCTCATGCAGTGTACTTGTCAGCGGTGGGGAGCTGCTGCACTGTCCAAACGATTTCCGCTGTCACAACGATGGTGTTTGTGATTCGAATGGAAGATGTATTTGTGAGTCTGGATGGACAGGTACTTGCCTACTTAGCATTCTTTGTTTCAGTGCATCCCTCCTAGCTTTTGATAAATTGTAGAAGTTTTTTCTTCGATTTCACAGCAATAGCTATAGATAGCTAGTGTCCCGCAGCCCGCTCAAGAATAGTTGAACTAGTTTGGGTGGATGTATGAGTGAAGTTTCTGATAATGTCTCATTTAGTGCTGATTCCATGAGTTTCTAAGCTCATCCCCTAGTAGTATTGGCTTCTGATCGTTCACCGCTTGGCTTTTAAGCGGTCCGCGTAGAGCTGACAATCCGGCCATGCCCCTTGCTTGTGGGATACCCTCATAATCGGTACTTTGGAAATGATAAGTTCCGGCTTTTCAAGGTTCACCCTTCCCCCTTAGAATGAAAACATTTTTCTTCGAGCTGGACTTCACATAGGATCTAGAGATAAAAGAATAAGTAACTTTCGGGCATGCTCTCATGATTCATAACCGGGCTGGGTGTGAGCATCGTCTGCTCTTGTAGAGTAGGCGACAGTAACCGTTAGCAGTTTTGCATTAGGCAGTGGGCGTCAGACGCCGACATCTGTAAGGCGACACACAGTCACACGCGGCTAATCGATATTCCGATGTATGCTCGTTTTCCCTTCGGTGGTCGAGTTTGAAGCATTCGGTTATCCCACTACATTCTTCATTTCAGTGTAGTTTCATAATGGGACTCATCAATTCATTTTCAAGCAATCAGCTCTTTTAATGTGAAATCGTACTCATTAAAACAGGTGATATGTGCGAAATTGAAGCTGTTCCGTGTCCTGATCGACCATGTGAAAACGGTATTTGCTTCACCGATCAAGAAGGAGTAAATTCTTGCAGATGCGACCACCGATTCGAGGTGAACTCGATTGCTAAGTTTAGGTTTCGCTTTCAATAAGCTGTTTTGCAAACATCTTTCTTCTTTTCCGTATTTGACGTCCATAAGCGGAAAATCAAAACAAGCAAATCGCTCATATACTTTTACCTTATTTTCTCGAAATAATTACCATTCGAGACAAAGTAGGGATAGACAAGTGTTTAAAAAGTAGGCTACTGTCTGCACTCACAATATGAGTACCATCTCTGCCGTAGAAAATACCATATTATCAAAGTTTGTAAAACGGTGCCGGTGCCAGCGGTAGGCCGTATGGTAAAAAAACCCTTGCCACAAAAAGAAGTTCAGATTAAGCTTGAGAAACAAAAACGCCAGGACTTCACCACGGAATAGAGAGCACAACCCTCTTGTGAATGAGTGTGGGGCTACCTATGAGGAATAACCGTAGCCAAAGAAGATAGTTTGAATCGGGTCTCGAACCGCTGAATCAGTTACAGGGGCTGAATTGGTATTGCAAGACTGAAGAGGTTCCTGATCTGATGAAGCGCAGCAACATCTAAGCCCTAGAAGTTCGGGAAACCCAATGGCAAGGGCCTATGCTAAAAAAATTGGTGAGCTTTAGCGCAACAGAGAAAATTCCAAATGAAGTGGCGAGTCCATTTTAGTGCCGAAGACCCTCAAGGACTTTGTCACAATTGTCAAAAAGATGACCAATCAAATCATGACTGTTGTGATAATTAGAAAGATGATACAGGGAAATAATATCGGTGAACACGCCGCAAGCCGGCTGCCCTAAATACAATACAAAAAGCTGGGTTTTATCGTGTGATTTGAATGACCACGACGCAGTGGAGCCTAGAAGGGTTTGCAGAGGCAGAGTTATAAGAATTCCATGGGGTGAAAGGATGCACTCAGGTATAACCTGGAAATCTGCAGCATTATTCTACAAAAGAAAATGTGTGATGTCGCCAACAGGGTTACAAAGCAAATCAACCATGTGCTTTTGGGAGGTCCCTCTTCAAACAATTGAGACTGTCATATCAATCTGCTGCGGTGTGAAGAACTGACCAAACAGCACAGCCTTTTATCAAATCTCCCCAAGAAAACAAAGATAGGGATGGAGAGGAGATTTTGTGGTGATGAATTTCCCGGACGAGGATTTCGAGCGAATTATACTGGGAATCCGTCTTCCCGATCCCCAATAATCACCCCAGCAAATATGAAGCAACCCTGCGGAGGTCATCGAGCAGAGCGTAAGAGGAATCTGAGGAGTCTTGAGATGGAATGAGAGGAAACAAAACGACGTGGTTATAGACCAGGCGGCTACGCACGCTATCGCGTGCGCTAGGGGCTCTAACCATGAGAAACGGAGCCACATGAGCTGATTTTCATTATAAACCTTTATCGGATTTCTGAGTTTCCGCTCAAACCCCGCCTCTTGTGGGCGTAGTCTGGTCCTGCCACCCACCATAAGTGTCCCCATCATGGCGCTTGTTTTCCTACCAAGTTTGAACTTTCTACGTCCATGGAGACAGGAGTTATGGATTTTCACCCAAACCCCGCCCTTTGTGGGCAGGGTCTGGTTCTGCCACCCACCATAAGTTTTCTCATCATGCCGCCTGTACTCTTACCAAATTTGAACTCTCTATGTCTATGGGAACCGTAATTGTGGATTTTCCTATATAAATGTAAGAAGGGATGTGAGCTTCGAGGCCGCCCCGTCCATTGTGGGCGGGCCTCCGCTGACGTCATTTATGCTGGATACACCTTCGGCAATGCTTCTCCACATCAACTTTTTCCTGCTCTGTTGGCTTTCTCCAAACCGAGTTATAAATGTTTTTATAAAGCATTGCATTTTCAGAGAAGGCCCCGCCCATCGGGGGTGGGTCTGCCCAGTTGGATCTAACTTGCCAATGCACACCTCTAGCCACCTTTACGCCCCAGTTTTAAAGCCGTTTTGTGACTGAATTTGAAACCATGGTCCTCAGTACAGCTCATTTCGACGCACGCCACGCCCACTGTGGGCGGGGCTCCGCCAAGCCGATGTGTGCTTTATACTTCTCGGGACATGGCCCACCCATCCCACGCTTGACCCGTCTCTCCAGGCAGATCTGAAGGAGCTAATGAATTTCGTGACAGACATACAGACAGACGACAGACGAAGCGCTTTATAGTAAGTAGGATGAGCTCTAACGAGTTGTGGACTATTTAGATTAAAGGTACATCTAAGCGCTGGCAACAGCGAGCTCCATATGGCTTTACAGTTTACGCAAGTTGCAAGAACCTGGTCAATGCAACCTAACGAGGCAAGTGTCACGACACTAAAACACTGCACGAGAAGCTCGACAGTCGACAAGGGGGAAAATCTGTTTTCTTGTTGGTCAGAGTCAGGCATGGGGCCACTCCGTAGCGAAAGTCGTAAAGGCACCGTTTCGAAGTGTTAATAGGAAAAATGATTCGACAAGCTCCGAACAAGAACTTCATCGCAAAAACAGCTCATAAGTAGGGGCGGTGGCTGTGCCCAGCACGAACAGAGGATGAGGTGCATCAAGCAGAAGGGAGGATGGGAGTTGGGATATCGCTAGGTCTTGTTTAGATACCGATTGAGGCCTGGAAGGCGCTTAGAGAGCACAGCATCAACATGTTCCCTGTACACTTCAAGTGCTGAAGTAAGATGGAAGTATAATAGTATCATGGTTCCCATCTCTATGCAAAATAGGGACACGATGCAGTGTTCTGACTCTCTTGGCATCAGGTTGACCGAGCATAGTTAACGCTGTGCAGGTTGCCAGTCGACTCGATAATGGGTAAATTGTCGAGACTTAGGATTGGTACGGCTAAATGCCGGTCGGTTGCCGCCTACATAGCTAGACAGGTGATGGGAAAATGTTTAGGAAGTCCAGACCCTGCGACCGACAAAGTGAAGCCCCAAAAGAGAGATGGAGAGACCTGTTCAAAAAGTACATATCCGAAATCAGAGAAATAGGCGATAATTCACTGGAATAGCGGATCCAGCGACTGACCGAACTAATGCTCGAGAGAAGTTCAGGAACAATATACAGTCAGGAACAATAAAAGATTTCCTTATTAGGAACGGTGTAGGTGTTATTCGATAGCGCCTATAGTTTCTATGCTCTCAAGAAATGGATAGTGGGTGCTCGACTTAGTAAACGAGACGATGGTGAAGAAAATTCGCATCGCCTTCAATGAAAGAGATCACTTCGGTTTCGCAGGCTGCCTTATTACGTGACCTCCCTTAACATCGGTGCCGATCCATTGAAGGTAACTAATAGATACATGAAAAAGAGCGAAGCCTTTGGTGCGAGTTAATCCTGTGTTGGGATGCACTCCAGCATTCGACTTCGGTTCAGAATGGTAGCGGCGCACCGGATGCGTATGTCCTATACACTAACTTTCCGCCTTTGAAAAAAANAAAAAAATCAGCTCACCATCAGATGAAAAACTAAAGAAATCAATGAGAGAAATCAGTGTGGAAATGCAAGAAAAATACGTAGTCTATATAATTCGACGTAATACTTGTGTACAAGAAATTTCTGCAGCACGTATAAATTGAAGGGACTTACCGGTTTTTTTAATCATGAAATCTTACAAGAATCTAATCATGCAATGGCCTTGGTGAGACTATTCGTGACGCCGCCCGCTTTTGACTGTAAGGAGTTCGAAAATCCTTAAACTAGAGCTTTGGAGTTGTCGGGAAGTGAAGACATTCATATTAAAAACAAATTTGGGTAGTAGAAGCATAACTGAAGGCGAGTTGTAAGAAAGTCCCTACAATTCCAGTACTCGTCTCTCCCTCTCAAGCCGTAAATTAATATGAATCTAGCATTCATATTGATCGAATTCGATACTTTTTTGTCGATTCCCATTTGTTTAACGATAGTTCTTCACGTTTGCAGGCTTTCATGAATATTAATCTTTCATTTCTAGGTTCGCATTTGAATCATTGTCGCTTTTAGGGTCAATATTGTGAGCTTGATAAAGACGAATGTTCGCTAATGGTATGCCCAGCAGATGCAACTTGTGTAAATCTTACTCCAAAACATAGCGATGACAAGTGAGATAACCGATTATTTTTGAAAATCGGGCCTACTCCCCTGATAGATTGTTTATTACAGAGGTTATTCTTGCATCTGCCCAGAAGGCTATACTGGTGATCTCTGCGATCTAGAAGTAGACCTCTGCGAACTGCACAGAGAAAGAGTCTGTATTCTAGATAAACAATTTAAATTTGATTCGTACTTTGAGATTATTTTGATACAAGCAATGGTTGTTGAAGGGCGAAAATTATTGCCATAATGGTGGTGTTTGTGAGGCGCGCTACGTTTGTATGTGTCAAAATGGTGAGATAACGAAGTTGCGATTTTATTCATTTTTTTCTCAATTGTTCAGTGCCATATGAGACACAATTCTTTCTTTTCTATATAAACTGTTTGTATTTCCCCTTTTTTCACTCTAAGTTTTAGGCTTTGGCGGACCGCGCTGCGGTCGTCGTGTACCACGTTTGGAAGAATATGAAGAATTTGGTACTTCTACTGCTTTTTATTATGTTTACTATCGCCAATTGGATTGGAATTGTCGTTTTTTTGGGCAGGTTGTCCTGAACGAGCAGAAGTATGCGCGAAGCTGTTTGACGACGGCCGCTGTGACGACATTTGCAATCGCGAGTCATGTCTTTTCGATGGGTTCGATTGTGCCAAACGAGACGGAGCTGTCTGCAGGTGAGTAGTTCACAAGGAACATCGCCCCCCATCGTTGGATGGTTTCGCAAGATTTCTGAATTTAGACCCTAGTAATTTTTCAGGCCATGTTGTTAAAAGTTATCGTATTAGCTTGAAATGATGCAATTCTTCTTCGCGTGAGAGCAAGATCATTGACAGAGGTAGACATTGACAACAATGCATTGCTCAGATCAAATGATGAGACATAACTGTGGAAAGGGATGAGTGTTCGGGGTTGTAAATAGAGGGGAATGAAATAACGCAACCAGTCAGTGGTAGCTTTCATTTCATAAGAGTTGCTAATGGTACTTCGAGATTATTGTGCAGAATTCTTGCCAAAACAAACATTTAAATTCCTCTTCTTTTTCTTTACGTTGATCCCGCGCCGTCGCAGGGTCCGCCATTCTTGCCAGCCGCCTCCATTTCCTTCTATCTACGGCATCTTCTGCCGTTACCTTAGCTTCGGCGAAGTCCGTCTTGATCGCGTTTCGCCATCTCTTCTTTAGGGCTCCTCGCGGTCTCTTCCAATGGGCCTCGAACTCCATAGCCTCCCTTATCGGATGATTCGGTGGTCTTCTCATTTCGTATCCGTACCATCGCAGACGTTGTTCTCTCATCTTTAACTGTACAGTGACTACCTGTATGACCGCTTTGACGTCCTCTTTGTTGATCTGGTCCACTCGCATCGAGCCGCAGGCCCTCTCCACCCGAGCATCCTCATCTCAGCAGTGTGAAGCTGTCCTTCATGACTCTTGTCTACGCGCCAGCACTCACTGCCGTAGATCATCGCGGGCCTCACCACTGTCCTGTACACTTTTCCTTTGAAATCCCTGGAGCACCGGCGGTCGCAGAGGATACCTTTCTAGACTGTGGATTCCCTCCACTTCATCCATGCCACGTTTACTCGGGATTTCACAGCCTGGTCCATGCTGCCATCAGCGGCTAGATTACTCCCCAGGTATCGAAAAACTTGTACCTTTTCGATGACTTCCCTGAAACCGTCAACGATTGACTCCGTGCACTCCCCGGAGCTGAGGAACTTGGTCTTCTCTACATTCAGCCGGAGTCCATTCTCCGCTAACACCCTCTGCCATTTCTGGAGCTTGTCCTGGACTTCTTTTCTGCTCTCCGCTATCAGAGCGATGTCGTCAGCGTAGATGATGGTCTTCAGTGGTCCATCCCAGAGACCGCTTGTGATGACTGGGCTTAGAGCTGATCCCAGGTGTACTACAACAGTGACGTCTGTTGCTTCGGTCAGGCCGTGGGGAGTGCAAACTGTTGTCGTAGACCCATCGTACATGTCTCTCACCAAAGATATCAGGTGCTCTAGAAACTTTCGATTTCGGAGCGCTCTCCAGAGGACTTGTCTCGACAGACTACCGATGGCCTTCTCCAGATCGAGGAAAGCCAGGTAGCAAGGTCTAAGCTTTTCTTGATACCTCTCCATTGCCTGTCTGGCTATGAAGATAGCATCCTTGTAGACCGTTCCGGCATGAAGCCGAACTGCTCTCGAGAGAACTGGACGAGCTCCCTCAATCTTGAGTCGACTAGTCGCTCATACAATTTCACTGTATGAGCAGTCAGCCTGATCCCTTTGTATTAGGCTGATGCATAATTTTTGCGGATTTTTTCGCGGCTTCTTTTCTCTAGGTAGAAGTCGAATATTGAATTCGTAATTTTCATAGAAATAATCTTCTCGCTTCCTCAACAGATTGCATATGCTCTACTACTTCGAAAAAGGTTGGCAGGTGGCAGAGTCATTTCGATCTCAGCAAGCTTTTCGGGATGGAACAATCAGTCAAGGCCAAGTAGGGAATGATATTTGCTCCTGAATCCGTCATATTTACCGATAGAAACTTTTATGGATTATCACGTCAGCCGTTCCTTGAAAAATTGGCTAGTCAAGAGAACTTACGACGAAATGGATGCCGATGTCAAGGCGTGGGTCTTTGTTGCAAGAACCGAAACTTCTTCGCTTTAGGAAATCGACTGCCTAGCAAATGGGAAACATTGCTTGACGAATACGGGGGACACCTTTCGGAGCAATTATTTGAACATTTCTTCGTTCAGTATTTTTATCGTTTCTTTCAATAAAATTTGTTGAAAAAATCCGCAATAATTATACATCAACCTGATAGTTGGAACACTTCATCGCGTCCATCTTCCGCTTGAATATGGGAACGATGGTGCTGCTCCTCCAGGGGCCGTAAGGTATGCTCCCCCGAACAGGAGAGGGTCCCCTTCCCGGTAAGGTATGCTCTCGGGGAGAGCAGAGAGATAATTGCTTTCGGGAAGAGCAGAGAGAGACCCGAATCGGGACGTCTCAGCCCCGAACAGGAGAGCATACCTTACGGCCCCAGGCATCTGGGATCCTTCCTTCAGTAGTCACAGTGTTCGGTAATCGGGTGAGCCACTTAATCCCGTGCTCTCCAAGCGCCTTCCATGTCTCGATAGGGACCCCATCCGGGCAGTTGCTTTTCCAGCCTTCATTTTTCCAATTGCCCAACGCACCTCGTCTTCTGTCGGGAGTTCGATGGGTCCAGCCGTTGCTTCTAGCTGGGGCTATACTCACAGGCGGATTCTTCGTTTAGGAGCCTGTCGAAGTATTCTTTCCATCTACACCTGAACTCCCCAGGCTCCCTCAGGATTGCGTCCTCTTTGTTCTTAACGGACTTCACTACCCCGATATCTTGAGTAGCCCGATGCCCCGCTTTCGCCACTCGAAAGACAGACTTCTCTCCTCCTTGGCCATCGAGTTTCTCGTACAAGGCATCCATTTCCGTATTCTTTGCTTTCGCAATGGCAGCTTCGGCGACCCTCATGGAAGTTCTGTTGGCATCTAGGTCTTCTGGAGCTCGCCTTTAGGCCTTTGTAGGCCGCTTTCTTCTGTCTCACGACTTGCTAGACTTCATCCCAGAACCATGCTTCCTTGTCTCCTAGGGATCCACCTCGAGTCTCTCCCAGCGGTTCTCTAGCACACTGCAGGATGACTTTTACGGTATGCTCTAGTTCTGCTGGATCAGCCCTTTAGGATTTGGGAGACCAGCTCCCAGTATCTTCCGTTTGAGTTCCTTTCTTTCGGTTTAGTGCCACCTCCATCACCGGATGCCCGCTCTGTTCTAGCCCTTGATTTCTTGAGAAGCTTCATGGCTATGCCTGCTAGAAGAGGTCTGTTCTACTTAGCCAATTTATCACGAGGCAGTACTTTGATGTCTTTTACAGCTTTGAGGGACGATCTTTTTACGAGCACATGATCTTTTTCTTTTTCCTTCCCTCTACTGCTGTAGGTTACCTTCTGAATCTACCTTTTCACGAAGGTGCTGCAGACTGCCAACTTAGGACCAAGGCCAGATCGAAGATCCTCTCTCCTTCTCCCTTTCTAACTCCTAGCCACTTACCTCCATAAACCCTTTCCAGTCCTCTCCTTTCACTGCTGCGCCCATTCAGATCACCTTCTGTGTTAAGGTAGTCTCCTTCCGCAACCGATCCAATAGTATCGCCCAGGCTCAGATAGGACTCACCTTTTCACACTCGGGGCAGCCGGCTTGTGGTGATTATTGTCACGGGAATTATTGTCCAGTACCCCTCTCTCGTGTCTATCCTCACTGCCATGATTCGCCTGCTGATCCTGCTGACGGCATAGACGGACTCTTTGTGGGACTCCGCCACAGCTATGGATACGCCATTTCGCTTGGTAAAGCCTGACGCCCTCTCCGATTTCTCTGACCTTTGCTCCTTTCCAGCGGGTCTCTTAAAGACATAGGAGTTGGATGTTCCAGCGCTTCATTAGGTCAGCGACCTCTCGGGACTTTCCAGTAAGCGAGCCCACGTTGAAAGTCCTGATTCAAACTTCTTGGACCGAGGTCGTTCACTACTCGGTAGCCCTCGCATACTGTCCACAGAACTCGGGCGGAGGTCTTGTGCGCCACTTCCTGGTGACGTCCTAGCCTTATCATTGGTTACTTTTCAGACTTTTGACATGTTGTGACTTGGTTTCTCCATCAGCCGGCTTGTCAGCCTGGGCCTTACGCTAGAACCGTTACCATTTTCGCAATTTTTGCAAGGCATGGATTGTGCCTCGGAGGGATCGAACTCGCACTCGTTCTAAGTGCAGACATGAGTCTACACTTCAATTCACTCGGCCATCCCTGTCTCACAAACATTTCAAATTAATCTAAAACATTGGCGACAACGCGCGTACTGGGTTTCTCCGCCGTGTTGGACCAGAACCAATTTGCGAGCGCAACCGCTTTGTCCCTTAAAGTGCGTTTTTCAGTATTCAAAGCTGAGAGTTAGTCGTGAAATTTCTCGTCGCATGAGTTGATCCAAGTATTTGAAACGACCAGAGGAAGACCTCATTCTACAGAACTCTTGCTCATGAAAAAAAATTCGTTCAAAAATACTTAATTATGAAATGGCTGAACTCCATGGAGATTTTGAAGTCAGTTTAAACTCCGATCAGCGTCCAGTCGAGTTCGACTTTGAGGAACGAGGACAAACAGAAAATGAAACGAATGAAATACTGCGAAATCTGGAATCAGAAGTTTCTCAAGAGTAAGAATCTGACAGTGGTAGTTGTCACCGTGGTCCAGCTAGGCGTCTCCTTATGGTTCATCAGTTTTTAGTGCTGACTCCGGTCCGGGCTATGTTTACAGCTGTCAAAAACCGATCTACTTCCTCGATTTGTTTTGCGGAAAACGGCGATCATGACGGTGATGGATTATTCAGAACGAAATTTGGTAAACCTCGGAAATTCTTTGCTAAAATGCAGCACTTTTCATAATTCAACGGGTCACGCAATGGGTGATTATAAAACGCTGTACTCTATGAGATGAGTGCAAAAAATTTAAAAGGATTTGTATATCCTTAAAATAATGAATGATTGGGTTCGATCCCACATGATGCTCAAGGTGCATACCACAGTGTCATCAACGCGTAGATGTGTCATTTCACGGACCTTAACTAAAACCGAAATGATAACAGTCATTGCGGCCAGCCAATGAGAGCCCAGTCATCTTTGAAGGTTGAAAAGTGATCTAATTTCTCCTGGATTCACAAGTAAAGATAGCCCAAAACAATAGATCGATACAATAATTAAGGAGACAGTTCCAACCTGGAGTGGCCACTAGAGGCCCCAGTCTAGTACCTGCTGCAGTCGGCAATGAGTCCAACTATGTAGGGGTACTTTCCTAAACCCCGGCGCACGTGTATATTCGTGGAGAGGTGAGCCAGTCTTATGGACACGGAACAAAAACGAACGTCTTTAGAAGAAAAAATGAGTCACGTAATACTGGGATTAACTCTTATTGACGGCTTTTGGAGGAGCAAGGATTTGTAGTGGTCTTTGTGGCTGAGAATTTACTCATATGTGGGGCTCCGATCTTACATTGCCAGCTTGTGAAAAGCAAATTCTTAAAAAGAAGTTGTGATACATAAAAAACCACATAAGATTTTTTCGTACAATCAGTGCTCATAAACAATGAACATTAATAACTCAATTACGTTGCCATGTAGACGCAGCATAAAGGTACAAATCTACTGCTAGTGGCATGCCACGCTGTATTGGGATGCTAAGACCGAAGGATGCGAGTCTACTGTCGCAATATCTGAACTGTTCTGAGGCTTTCCAATGTTTCAAGCTGCGGGATAGAACTAGGAGTGGAAGGAACGGGGTATAATTTTCTGTGCATTCTTAGATTATATATCCTGACCCTCTCGGACCTTTCGTTGCAGGGTTACAAACAAAATAAATGCTAGGTTTCAATCTAGATACAGCTACGAGTATTCGGAACCCGTGGTGAGGTCGTTATTCATCCACACATTGTTCAATTCGTCCGCCTAGCCATGTCAATCGTTCTTTATGATTCGAAATACATATTACTCGGGCAGTTGCTGATTGGCTTTTGTTGTAAACCAACTTTGTAAAAGTACAATGCACTCCTATTGTTTGGTCATCCCTTTCTCAAGTGTAAGATTCTATCGCCCAGATTAGTAGTTCAGATGACGTATGACGTATACTTTTATGTAGGCATGTAAGTATTTTGGACTCCCTAACCTTGCTACGGAAAATCAGCTTTAAGAGCGCGGTGCGAAAGTTTTATTTGCCACAGATCCGAACTAAGCTGTAAATCGGAGGTGAGACCGTCGCAAGATCTCCAGATCTTTTACTCTTACGTGACCACATAAAATAGTACCATTCATTTCATACTCGGATCGTAGTTATCACCTAGATCACTGCACTTTTAAATATTTACCACTCTGTTTGCCCGGCTAACGCCGGGCTTCCCTTTTCTTCGACTAAATTGTAGTAATCGGTTAACTTTACTTCTTTGAAACGGATAATATTTTCCTGTACACGAAGGTTGACACAGGCTTAACAAGGCAGTGCAAATAGTATAATATTAAGTGTGAATCGGTGCTTACACCTTTGATTGGGAACCTCAATCTTTCGCTCTCATTCTCAAAAGTAAATACCCGTTGAATACTCAACAGTTCACTTTCGTTATTCGCCGAAATCCGGGTACCCAAGAATTATCGTGAATTGCACCTTTGAGCACATACCTTGGTCAACTTTTGTGCCGGTATCACAAATTCAACGGCGTCTTACCATCATCTGACTTCATCCTTGAACCATCATTTTGTTGCTCACAACACTTATAACAGTGCTTATAACAACGATTCCGCGAGAGATAGCCGTCCCTATAGACAAATTGAATATTCTTATCTCTCTGATGGACTACTTAGGATAGCGGTCGACTGGCGGACGGACTTTCTCAGTAGCAGTTGGGAACTCCTTTCTACCCTTCCCATGCTTCCCACTGATTGATCTTACAGCCCTGTATTGTATCCATATCCTATCCTATCATTCTGTATTGCCATTTGGAGTCCTAAAAGATTTCACTATGTCCTTCGATCTCTTGCATGTGGATTATGGCAACTGGTTGTGAATGAGCCTTCACCATCTTGGAGATATTGGGAGTCCTACTTCGATAATTGTGTAAATTGCAAATAAATCTTCTTATGCAACTAATTAGTAGAGTATGAAGGGAAATTAGAGTGTACAAATTCTGGCTTACAAGTATAAAGCTTTGCGTTCATAATTTCGCGACACCCTGCCTTGTATTTTTAGGTGCAAATGTTCAAGGGAATGGCATAAAACCCCGAAATTGGTTCATTGCGCCTAGATAAAATCGATTGTTGGTCTCGACTTCATAATAGCATAGTACTTCATAAAAACAAGCTGGTAGTAGTGAACAGTACCACAAGTGACCTCTGATTTTGCCTGGTTTTATCCATCCATTTCTCATTGTTATATGTAAAGATATTTGCTGATGCATGCATAATCCTTCATATATGTGGCCATATTTGATTTGCGTAATATCCCTTAGTTATATCATAACTGCTCTCGAATAGCGTCTGTCAGAAGTAGAATGCTACGCATCTAATTTTTTCGAATGTGTGTAATGCGAGTAGTGCAAGTGAATGTGCGCACAAAAATTTATTCAGTTCTTCGCCATTCACGAGTTTCACTTTCACGGAATCGCTTCTACAGCTAACGGCCCCATCCCCATCTGCCGAATCCACCCATCATGAATGGATCGAACATGCCGCCCATCATGAACGGATCGAAGAATCCAAATTGGCGTTTCTCTCTGAAACCAGGAACGATTGAAAATGCGAGCCGCCGAAGCTCACAAAACAACTAGACATCGCATAACACATAATTGGAGTAGCTTGTTCAAGAAATTCGTGCCTTTTGTAACCTTCGTGGCTTTCGTGACCTTCATAGCCTCCGTCCAACTGCGTTGGTAAGGCAAATACAACACTGACAATCAGCAGGAACACAACTGCCCATAGAGCGCGCATTTTCCGTAGAAAATGCTATTGAGAATATAGTCAAATGAAGGAAGGGAACAGAATAGGCCTGAAAAATACCAAAATACCGTCTCAGTACTATTTATTGTGTGAAATCGTACTGGCTATTCCGCCACCATTGTTTCAGAATGGTAGTCTAGTAGGTCAATCGTTCCCCTGCTCATTACAACTTCGACAAGGATGCGTCGTAGGTATTCATGACATTAATCTTTTTGTCACACTCGTCCTAGCTTCCTTGGGCCTACTGGTAAGACTAGCTAGTATATTCTCAACAGGGCAGCACAATTGGTTAAGTCATATTGAGTGCGAGACTTCAATATCCAACGGGCCTGAATGGTTACAGTGACATGGTTTGCATTCATGTACGCATACCGCATACAATGATTGATTTGTTCCACTGATTGATAATATTCTGCTGCAGAGTGAACGATTCACTTTTCTGATGTTAAGTAAGTGATCAGTAGAGGTGGTCGCCACGAGCACAAGTGGATGCTGAATTAGGCTTTCAAGGATAGATTCTTGCGTTTTTCAAGCCTTTTTAGATGGTGCGCGCTGGTAGCAGAAGATGAAAACATTTATGAGCTACAGAAACTTTTTCCACTGGATGACTAATCTCCCAATCACGAACGAAGGCATGCAAGAGATTAGGCGTGAACTATGGACAAATTTCTAGCTTGAAGTGATGAGACCTAGAATCGTAAACTAGGGTTACCTAAGCAGAACTAATTAGGTTTCCGAACATTGTTGATTTCTCTGACGGCAATTTCTTAAACGAGCACAATTGAAACTCAAACATGCAGCTAAAGTGCGCCATGGTAAGTTCTATCCTCCTGGAGATATTTCTCAGATTTTACGGAAATTTTGGAATCTTGTCTAGGCTGGCTTTCTAAGATTTTGAAAGTAGAGACTCAAGGAAAATCAATTGGGTTTTGTTTTAGTGGTGTCATTTGAACTAAGCGCTGCAATTTAAGTATGGTTTGGTAAATCAAACTTAGTTAAGGCTATGCTGAATGAGTCTACTAACAACTGCAGCTATTTCTACTACTTTTGGGCCAACTGGAATTTTTGAGTCCGAGTTCGTTGCGTGTTAGTGACCTATTTGAGAAAAAAGCTGCTTTTGATCACTGTATGTACGATACTGAAAACTAGAAGAAATTAGAACGGAGTTGTTGAGTTACGGATGGCGCTTTCTCCAAACAGCGATTACGCAACTGCGTGAAAGACGAGTGGAACGATTATTCACGAAGTCTGTGAGTTCGGTGAGATGTAGAAAAATCGCTCTCGAATGTCATCTAGAACTGGTTCAAGAATGAAGACTATCATGAGAATTGGCAAAAAGGGCATGATCAGCATCAAACACCTTGCCCTGAGCGGGAAGTGAATGTGAATGAGTGAATGAATGCTTTCTATCCACTACGGCGGATATTTATATACTCGCACGGCTCTGTTCGCTGAACATAGGTTTAACGTATAAAGTTCCGTTACAAAAACTTTCACTGTTTCTTTTTCCGGAAAACATAACAACGACTTTACTTTGTTTTATTCTCATAGGTATGACAAAATGAATAAGCTTTCATAACAGCGGATTGAACGATGCTGGTAGCAAAACAGGAAAACTGTCATCTGTAACATCACAGATATCCATGACAACTGCAGAATCTTTTCGAATGAACTACTGTCATCTGTAGCATCACAAATATTCATGACAACTACAGAATCTTTGCAATGTTTTGTTCGGTGGGTTTAGCCTGTGTTACAGGAGTGGCAGATTTAGTGAAACTCTTTCGGATATTCAAAGCATGCACCTGCGTTTAACCCTAATGACTTTTCACAATGCTTCCAATTTTCGACATAAGTTTCGAAGTATCCTATTGTGTTGGTGGTTATGATGATAACCACAGAGCGGTCTCATCCTTATGTTGATGAACCTATGTAATTGAGAGCTTGGTGGTGGTAATTCATTGTCGCTCAGTCTACTTCGTCTCCAGCTGCATCGGATAAACAGTCTTCCAATAAACCGTCGTACCCAGTATGTGTTCCACTGCAAGGCCATCAAGACAATAGTGGGACACAACAGTGGCGATCAGGATATTTCGAGTACAACGCTGGGCATACGGCTATATTCAACTAACGACTATCCTTGTATATCCGACTTGACAGGAGAAGCTAAACTCGCAGATAAGTTAGCCAGGCGATTTTACTCACTCCAGAGCAGTACCTTAGTGGGATAAGTCCCACTCATCAAGAAGTAGACCCTTTTACCCAATCGATTTTCTTTGTTGAGTATCTGCTCTTCTCTTGTTTGTTAACCCATTGACGACCACGGCGTTTTGCGGGAAAGCGCCGCGAGGGACCGGCGCACTTTTCAACTGCCCGCGAATGCAGTCCATATATGGACTGCATGGTCCACCAGACCATTTTTTTGAATTTTGATACGGGGACTTTTGAATTTTACCTGTATTTACAAATTTAGGCTATGGCTAACGATGGTGGTGTGCAGAACTTGCATTTTAGTCAGCTACTGATTGATTCTGATGAGGAGCAGACAGAAGATGGTGATGATGTAGCTTATGCACTTTCTTCGGCATCAGGAACAGATTCTGACACCAGTAACTCGGAAAATGAAGGCAGTATGGATTCTTGGACGAGTCACACTGAAGAACACGATAGATCCAGTTTCGAAGAAGATTACGGTGTACATGGCGATTTTTTCAAATTATTCTTGGACGACGACATTATGGATTTGATCACAGCAGAAACCAACAAGTATGGCAATGCAAAAGCTGCCGCAGTTGGAAAAACGTTCATTGAGACCGACAACAGAGAAATGTATAAATTTTTTGGAATGTGCCTCCAAATGGGCTTGGTGAAAATGCCCTCATTGAGAGACTATTGGTCTTCAGAAGTGGCACTTGGTGGTCACTCAATAATGAGCTCGATCATGACCAGAAGACGTTTCGAGGAGCTTTTACGATTCCTGCATCTAGTCGACAACAGTGAAAATGCTAATGGGAATCGTCTTTTCAAAATAGCTCGTTTTTTGGAGCTGTTCAACGAACGGTGCATGAAGTACTATAAAGCCGGCAGAAACGTCTGTATCGATGAGTCACTAGTTCCCTTCAGAGGAAGAATTCACTTCAGACAATATATCCCTTCGAAAAGGCACCGGTATGG